TAAATAATATATTTTAGTTATATATTTAAATAAAAATATTTTTAGTGATTGACTAATAAATTTTTTATTAAAAATAATTTATAATAAATAAATTTAATAATATATTCTAGTTATATATTTAAATAAACAAATAAATATTTTTAATGTTTGGCTAATAAAAATAACAAGCCCAAAATGAAACTTTTTTTTATTATATATAATTAAATATAAATAATATATTCTAGTTATATATTTAAACAAATAAATATTTTTAATGTTTGGCTTATAAAAATAACAAGCCCAAAATAAAAAATAAAAAAAAAGAATATAATTAAATATAAATTAAAAACACATTTTAGTTATACATTTAAAATACATAAATAAAATAAGAGAAAAATGTTTTATTTCCTCATAAAGTAAAAATATTACCAAAAATATATTTTAAACTAGAAATTAAATAAAGTGTAAAAGAAAACGAGTTGACGGTCAAAATATTCCTGAACAGACGGTGAGCTCCAAACTTTGACGTCAAAAGTATTATTAATTATTATTTTATTTATTATTTTTATATCTTTGTTTCCTCACTAATCTGCTGTTATGAAATGCAGCAACTAATTGACTGTATGTCTGTCTGTTAGCAAAATATCTCATGAACCACTGGACAGATTTGTATAAAACTTTCAGGAAATGAGTTAACCTGATCCAAGATGGCTGCCACAGCTACTTAACCTTAGCAAAAAATGAAAATGGATAAATCCGGCCACTTTTACAGACGTTGAGCTAAAATTAGTCGTGGTAGTAGCTGAGCATCATCCCTGACACAAGCTCCGAGTGCTAACAGATCACGCAGTTACTGTCATGAAGGTTGTTTTATGGTTTAAAATCGAGTTTTATTTAAAGATGAAGCCAGTGGTGGACCGAGCGGAGCCTATCCATGGGCCTGACCTGGCCCCCGGACCACCAGTTGAACAGCCCCGTGTTCGACAATATAAAAGTAGAATACGCTCCTGAGTGGCAGGACGTGTGTGTGTGTGTGTGTGTGAGAGCTCTGAACGTAAACATTTGTAAACAACAACAACTTCTGTTACGTAGGAAGGTAAACGTGTCACTCCCAGGAGTTTTAGAAACATCGTTGACCTGGAAACTGCAGCTTTAATGAGTCTGAACATCCTCCACCCGGACCCGGACCCCCCGCCCCGGCTGGAAGTGGCCCCCAGTTGACGGTCAGTTATTTGTAAATCGCTGACGTCGCAGTTAAACCAATAAAAACAGACGTGGCTCCTTCAGATCTGGAACTCACGTCGCTCTGGTCCTGCAGGACCTGGTCCAGCAGGCGCTTCTGGACCCCCAGCAGGTAGGGGGTGGGCGCCATGACGACGTCAATCAGGATCTCTGGGACGATGGAGATGAAGGTGTGCTGCCAGGTGAAAGGATAGAGCAGGGCTGCGACGGCGTGAAGAACCTGAGACAACTTCCTGCAGACAGACAGAACCGACAGAGGAACCGGTCCAGAACTTAGTTTAGGCTCACAACCCGACATGCAGGAAAACTACGTGTTCTAGGTTGTTACAATATTTTCACTTAAACTGAAGTCGTGAAACGTTCTGGAGAAACACCATTTAAAGTTTCAGAACAGCATCTTCAATAAATCTTTAATCCACCGGGTGGCGCCGCAGACCCACACTCACTGAACCTTCACTCCTTTAAATCTTTGACCCTTTAAATAAAACTCTTTTAATGTCGGAGAAGAAAAAGCCCAGAAAGAAACAACATTAAAACATTCTTCTGGAACATTTAACGGATAAACTCTTCATTAACGGAGCTTTCAAAATAAAAGTTTCCTGAGTCAGGATAGCAGCCTCAAGAAGATGCGGTTAAATAAAGCTTGGTTCTGACAGGTGACGGGTCCAGTCGCAGCACAGGACGGCCTCGGCAGGACGGTGAAACGTACCCCAGCTCCTCGGCGATGAAAATGATCCGCCTCTCCAGAACCGCGGCTGCGAACACCAGCAGAACCTCGGCGTCCGTCAGGCAGTCGAACAGCGTGTGGAAGTTCACGTGTTCCAGCCAGGAGTCCAGCGGTCGGGTCAGACGGATGATCTGGTGGAGAGAACACAAACCTTACGGTTCTGACACGTCGTCAAACGGCCAGAGTTGGACCCGAGCCACAGAACAGAACTCTGACTGTGGGGATACAATCTCAATTCTGCATGTTGGAGCAGCTCTACATTCATTCTGAGATTTTGCTTTTGGAAACTTTAATTCCTCTTTTTCTGGATGTAAATCTAATTTTTTGGATGATTGTTTCCTCTGGTATCAGATGCTGTGCAGCTGGAAGGATTTTTACTGAAAATTTTAAGTTTTGGACATTTGTTATGATGCGTAACCATGGCAACGAGGCAGTTTTCTACAACCATCAGCAGCTGATTAACATCTCAAAAGCTCAAGTAATATCTCAACTACAGCCCCAAATCTCAAATGAGTTGAAAAGGATGTTCTGTGGACGCATTCTCATCTACCTGCCAGCTGTGCTCGAGTGTCTGACCACTTGGGGTCCATCACAGGGACATTCATGGCTCTTTCACAAAACACCTCGAGCTGGGACGCCTTCTGGGTGTGATTTGTGAATGGATCCAGGTGGAGAGGGGGTCCAAGCCCATCTGCACCGAGGAATAAACGGGCAGCCCTGACGGAGTCCAACTCCCGCCCTGAAGGGTCCGACTTACTCTGAGGTCCAAAGTAAGGTCAGACACAAGACTCAAAAACAAAAACATGAAAAGTGGCGGGCGATATGCATTCCTTTAATAAATCCCACGCCTGGTTACTGTTTGTAAGAACTTGAAAAGCTGACGTTTCCTTCCTTCATCGCTGCTCGTCAACGCTCGCCTGGTCCTCCCTTCACTTCGCTGCGAGCGTTAAAGAGTGCACGATGAACAGCTGATTGAAGGTAACGAGAGTTCAGGTGCGTCTGTGCGCCGCTCCTCGTTTCGCTTCACGTTTGCAGCCAGCGTGACTGGGAGTCCTCCTCTGTCATGATGGCCGACGACAGCGAGCGCCTCAGGCGGCTGGGAGCTTCTGAGACACGGAGCAAGGCCTGATGGGAGGTGTTGGGTCCTGCCGAGGTGAGTTGTGTAACGGGGGACGTGTCCGGGCAGATCCACACGAACACGCCCAGCTGGACGATCTGATGTACACTTTGTGTTCAGTTCTGCAGAAACCAACAGCAGCTCTGTCCGGACGTCTCCGCCTGCTCGCTTCATGTTTTCTTCTCGTTTCACGGAACAAAGTCTCGTTTTCTTCACGTGTCGGGTTCAAATCTCTGCTGAAACCTTCGCAGGCCTTCAGCCGTCTCTGCCAACGACCGACGAAGCACAGCTTTAATCATGTTTAACCGAGACGCACGCGCCTCGTGAACCTAAACATTAAACTTGCTCTTCTCACCTGTGGGAGACTGGACGTGCTCTGCTGTGGTGGGACCATTCACAGCAGAAGAACTGGTTTGACCGTTTCCACAAGTCAGAAGAAACTAAACAGATTTTATTTGTCTGAATAAAATAAAATCAGTCCCAGAAACATTCAGAGCAAAACACAGAAACTTCAGACTTTAGTTTAGATTCACAGAGCTGATGTCACGAATCACTGAGTTGATGGTCCTGGTCTATAATGATGAACCCAGGACCATCCAGGCAAATAAAAGACAATCAAATCTAATATTTCACTCTTTGATTTTTGTGTTTTATTCTGATAAAACTAGAAATAAAGTGAAACATGAGGCGACTTCAGGTTTACCAGAGTAAAGCAGCTCCGAGGCGTCTGCAGCTTCACTTTCTCCTCCACACAAGTTTTATTTTATTATTATTATTCTGAGCCACCTGATTGTCTGCCCCATGGATGTGGTTCTGTTCTGGTACCGGGCCTCTCTACCAGAACAATGTTATCTGAGGGCTGATAAAAAAAAAACCGCAAACCTAAAAAAATAAGGTGCTTTTCCTTTAAAAACCGGCAGAATGCAGCGAGCTCGTGAAAAAAGACAAACTCTGTGATTGGAAGCAGATCATGGAGATTTAAAGTGAAGCAACAGCTGCGAGGCGTGTGTGTGTGTGTGCATGTGCGTGTGTGCGTATGTGCATGTGCGTATGTGTGTGTTGCTCTGACCTCGGTGCCCGACTCTGGAATGAAGCTCTTAATCTCCACGGTGTGTCCGGGAGCCGGGAACTGAGCTTCTCTCAGCTTCTGCATGAACGGGTAGACCAAGGCCGTGGAGATCTGCCGCCGCTTCTCCACCTCGTCGAATATCTGCACGGACCGGAGCGCACACACACACACACACACACGCACACACGTCACACGCAGCGTTAACCTGCCGCTCGCCCAGAACCACAGCTCTGAGCCAAACCTCACATGGAAGCTGAACACGTTCATGTTGTTGAAGAACACAAAAAGGAACGTTTGGACAGTTCCTCCTGTTTGATTCGATGCACTGGGTGAAAGGCGGGCGATCATGTAACTGCTGGTGTTCGTGTATTTGGCGTGTATTTGGTCAATGTGGCGGACGTTGAGCTAAAACTTGGTGTGGTGGTAGCCGAGAGTCATACCCAAAACGTCCTGTGAGCACCAACAAATGAAACGTGACTGTTTAAACCTCCTTCAAGATATTGTGGAGTAGAAGCTGCTACTTTTTCACGTTTGAACTCCGCGGCTTAAACGATGCTGCGGATCATTTATGTTGTTTTTCTGATGAGCTAACGAGCTGCACGCCGCCAAAACAGGCTGGAAAATGAGGCCAGACTGGGTCTCGGTGGCCGGAGTGCGGGGCGGCAAACTTTCCCGCCAAGTTGTCTGCAGGAGGCGGAGCTAGCAGCTCCGGCGCCATCGGGCCTTTAGCGCTCGCCACCCTCTGAACGATTTCAGGCGGAGCATGAACGAGCACACCGATCGCTGGGAGGGGGGTGGTCGCTGACATCGGGATGTTTGTTAATACCAGCAGGTATCTCCCACGAAGCTGGGAATACCCTTCACCTGAAGCAAAGCTGGCCGCCCGGTGTTGCTTCTCCTCGAGCGGGAGAAGCTTGCAGGACAGACAGGAAGCCTGCGGTGTCAGGGCCTACCTGCGTGTTCTGCGCCGAGGCAGCCTTCGCAGATGGCGTGCAGGTCGGAGCTGAGGATGTTCCCCGTCCTGCAGGCGAATGACTCCACTGGACATCTTCTGCTCTTTAGAGTCCTTGTGCTGCTTGCTGGCTGAAGAGAACAGGGGTCCCTGGTCTCAGGACAATTTACAAAGACTGGGGCGGGGCCCACACAGCAGGTGGGCGTGGACTAAAGATTTCAGTGCTGCGCACGAGGTAAAACCACTAGCGATAGCCTTAAAGGGCGAAGCCTATACGAAACAGAACAAGGCTGTTTGGTCCAGTCAACAGCTGCTCGCTGGAAAGTTTCTACTTTGGACCGTCTCGTTAAACCCTGGAGGTGGTTGAGGGTAAAAATCCCAGCAGACCAGCAGGTCCTGAAATACTCAGACCAACACTTCAATCCCCTTTCCTCTCCGCTCTGATGCCCAGTTTGAACTTCGGCCACTCGTCTTCACGTCTGAGTTGCTGCTGTACGATTGGTTGATTATCGGTTTGTGTTAACGAGCAGCTGAACAGGTGAACAGCTGAACAGGTGAACAGCTGAACAGGTGAACAGGTGAGCATGTTTCTGCGTTGTCCTCACCTCAGAGAAGAGGCCGAAACAAGCCAGAGTGCTGATGATGCAGTACGCCTCTGGTGGTCGAGCTCCTTTTCCTCCTGGCTGAAAATGTCAAAGTGAAAAAGAAAAGTTCTGTAAACAATAAGAGTAAAAAATGTTTTTTTTATTATTATTGTGTTTAATGAGTGGACGGACCAGGAGCCTCCTGCAGTATCCATTCCTTCTGCTGCCGTCGATCTCAGTCAGAACGAAGGAGAAGGTTTCACTGAAACAAACAGAAAGAGTTTGTATCGAAGCAGGAGAAGCTCAGCGCAGGTGGTTCTGACCCGTACCTGTGGTATTCTGTTAAAGGAGCCCAGCTGATGCCTTCTGGGAAACAAAAGAGGGTGATGGCCTTCAAGGTCTTCTCCTCCTCCTCTTTCTGAAACCTCGCCATCATGTCTCTCTGAAAACAAACATGGCTGCCGTTAGAAACACGCAGCTCATCCCAGCCTGGCCCAAATATTTCGCTGACAGAAGAGACAACAAGTTTCCTTCAGAGTCTCCTGATAATTTATAGATCAGCTACAGAAACCTGAACCTAACCTGCAGGTCGTTACTCCACTAACGAGCTTCAGCTTGTAAGACTACAGTAACGTCCTTCATGAAGAATGTGACAAATTAAAAGCAGAAGTTTAATAATAAAAATAAAAATAAAGAGTTCAGCTCGAGTCAGAAAAACACTGGAGAAATGTATTTCTGCTAAAATACAGCTGAGAGCTAAAGGACTACTGAAACTGAACTATTAGAGCTAAAAGAAGCTAAATACCAGCTAAAAGCTAAAAAGAACTAATACCTTATAAAAATGTAAGAACACTAAAATCCAAAAAGAACAAAAATACTAACTAAAAGTGGAAAAACACTAAAAGGTAAAATTGAACAATTGCCAGCTTAAAGTTGATAAGCAAATAGCTAAAGGAAAAAAAAAAAACAATGAAAAGCCCAAAGTCGCTAAATGCTAGCTAAAAGTTGGAAAACACTTGCTAAAAGCTAAAAGTGGTAAAACCCAACTAAAAACCAAAAGTGGAATAATGCTAGCTAAAAGCTGGAAAATACTAGTTAAAAGCAAAATGAAGAAAACGCTAACAAAAAGCTAAAAGGAACTAATACTAGCTAAAAGTAAGAAAATACTAGCTAAAAGCTAAATAAAGCTAACTGTAACTACAAGCTTAAAAGTAGCAAAAAGCCAGCTAAAAGTAAGGAAATACTGGTTAAAATCCAAAGAAAGCAAAACTCTTAATTAGTAGCCAAAAGTAATGAAATGCCAACTAAAAGAGGGAAAACACTAGCAAATAGCTAAAAGGAGCCAAACCCTAACTAAAAGCTTAAAGTAGGATAAGAAGACAAAAACAGAGGCAGAAACTTGAGCTGAGTTCAAAGAGAACAAAGTTGTTGGTAAATAAAGTTAAACGTTCTGGAAAGAATCAAAGTAACAAAAGCCAAAAGTCACAGAGGCACTCATCTCCTGAATGAGCTGAACGTTTTGATTTACGAACAGCTGCAGAAAGAACGCGGCGGCAGTTAGGTAACAGAAATGTACAAAAAGGTTAAAAAAATGTTAAAAATGCTGAGTCAGTTCTTTTTTTACTAGCTCCAGGTCAAAATGAAGTTATGTTTCTGAGGAACTGTGCACATGTTTGAGCAAAACTGGTTTCACATTTCTAGTTCTGCTTCATTTCTACCCTTCGGCTGATTTTTTTTTTTTTACCTTTGACGTGGATAAAGCAGCAATGAAGCCGAGAGCAGAGAACTGGTCAAAACAGACCTCCATCTCAAAAAGTAAATAATTTATGGTTTGTCCAGCTAACATATTAAGAACAAATGAAATTATATTTTTGAATCCACTCTGCAGCTCACAGAATTCAGTTTGAGTCAGAAGATTTTATTTTGTCTCAAAGAATCTCGTATGGAGAAGACCTGAAGGCGAAGGTTCTCGGTCATCCAGGGCCAACGGAGGCAAATGGACTCCATTTTGGATTTGAAAATGTTTAACTTTTCATCTAGTGAGCTTTCTCAGTTATTAACTGAACCTCTTAATTGAACTTCCATGGCTTATAAAGAAAAATAGATTAGAGACCAAGTTCAGAACCCTGTGGAACCCCTGAGAAAATTGTTCACTGGTATGACTTCAACCAGTCCAAAGCAGAATCCAGGGGGTTGTTTAACATGTTGTGGTTATTTGTAGGTGGTTCTTAGGTTATGTTATGAATCTTAGTTTAAAATCTTTAAAAAACCGTGACAACCTCAGCGTAGTGTGTTTAACTCGGGTTCTCCAACAGACTGACCTTGGGAAACTGGTAGGTGATCTGAGGTTCATAGGTGCCGACTTTGGTCATCTTGAGGCTGACTACCACCAGATACTCAAAGAAGTACTGCCCGCTAACGCAGCGGGGCAGTCTTTCCTCTGACGGCGGGGTCTGCAGCGCCTCCAGAGGCTCAGGGGCTTTGGCCTCTACACAAAAATACACAAATATACAAGTTGTTATTAACAAAGGCTGGGCTCATCTGATGGAATAAAAAAATAACAGATGAGGTAGATTATAAAGGTACAAACAAACAAGCTGTACGCCAACATCCCCCTCGCTGAGGAATCTGAAAAGTGAATGTTTGTAGTTTTTGAGATGAGTGTTTTTCTGGACTGGAGTTGAACAGAGAATGTAAGTAAACCTAAATGTTCTTGGTGCCAGACATTCAAGTGGGCAGGAGTTACACCGTGGAGAAGAACAGTTTTATTTATTTATTTTTTCTTGTCTGAGGTGCAGAGCGACAGACCCTGGAGAGGAGGGAGCCATTTTATCCATCACCAGGAGCAATGGAGGAGCCAGGGGGTGGCCAAAGGTGGCCTTGGCCCCCCATAGATTATTCTTCGGCCACCTCAATCATTTGAGAAAACTCTAATTTTAAGCAATATAAAAACTAGAAAGCATAGTTTTCGTAAATGATTGGGGTGGTTGGTTTACATGTATAGACCCTTTCCAAAAAATTAGAATATCATGGAAAAGTTGTTTAACTTCCATAATTCCATTCAAAACATTAATCTTCAATAGATGATAGATTCAGGGCCCACAATTTAAATGATTTTTAGGTATTTCTTTGTTTATTTTTACATAATTTGAGCTTCCAGCTCATGAAACTCATGAAAACAGGATTTAAAAATATTAGAATACTGTGAAGAAATCAGTCCAAATGTTGCAGGACATGAATGTTTTAAACTGAGTGTGACACTAATCATCTACTAAACTCAAAGCACCTGCACAGGGTTCCCCAGGTGTCATTAAATTGCTTCAGTTTGGTTCAATTGTCTCAGTTTGTTTCAATATGGAGAAGACTGCAGACATTACTGTCCAGAAGACCATCAGTGATACCCTCCATGGGATGGGTAAGACACAACAGTTCATAGCTAAGGAGGCTGGCTGTTCATAGAGCGCTGTGTCCAAGCATCTCAATGGAAAGTCTAGTGGAAGGACAAAATGTAGCAGGAGAAGATGCACCAGCAAAAGAGATGACCGTGGGCTTCAGCGGATCATCAAACAGAGAAGATCCAGAATCTGTCAGAGATCCAGAAAGAGTGGAATGAGGCGGAGTCACAGCTTCAAAAACCACCACATTCAGACTCATCCAGGAGATGGACTACAACTGTCGGGTTCCTTGGTCCTCTTTTCTGATGAAAGTAAAGTGTCTTTCATTCAGAAATCAAGGTCCAAGGGTTTGGAGGAAGAAGGGTGAGGAACAGAACCCATACTGGTTGAGGTCCAGTGTGAAACATCCACAGTCAGTCATGATCTGGGGTGCAATGTCCGGTGCAGGTGTTTGTAAACTCTGCTTTCTTAAATCCAAGGTCACAGCAACAGTCTACCAGAATGTTTTAGAGGACTTCATGATTCCTTCTGCTGAGGATCTGTATGGAGATGCAGAGTTCATCTTCCAGCAGGACCTGGCCCCTGCCCATGCTGCCAGAAGCACCAGAACCTGGTTTGATGCCACAGTGCTTGACTGGCCAGCCAACTGGCCGGACCTAAACCCAATAGAGAATCTATGGGGTCTTCTCAAGAGGAACATGAGGAGCACCAGAGCAACAACAAAGAAGATCTGACAGCATGAAGGAAATCTGGGCTTCCATAACTCCCAGTCAATGCCACAGGCTGATTGTCTCAATTCCATAACTCCCAGTCAATGCCACAGGCTGACTGTCTCAATTCCACATCGAGGCAGAGATTAAGACAAAGAGGTTCACAACCAAGTATTGAAGATTGATATATTGATTTGAAAGAACCATATTTTGATTGATTTGTTGTGATTTATTTCTTTTTTTCTGCAACAACTGAGACGTGTGGACTGATGTCTTCACAGTATTTTAATGTTTTGAAATCCTGTTTTCATGGGTTTTATGAGCTGGAAGCCCAAATTATGTAAAAATGAACCAATAAATACTTGAAATTGTTTAAATTGTGGGCCCTGAATCTATCATCTACTAAATATTAACTTTTTGAATGGAATTATGGAAGTTAAACAACTTTTCCATGATATTCAAATTGTTTGGAAGGGGTCTGTATATGACGGCAGCCATCTTGTATTTTGACGTGGCAACCCAGTTTCGATGGAGAACATTTTTACGTTGAGATGCAGCCACGCATCAAAATGGAAGTCGGTATCTCACTTGTTTCTTAAGTTGTCATGCTCTCGACACTGATGGACAGCATTTCCAATTCCCCGCTTTGCTCTACAACAAGTGTCAAAATGGTTGACCATGTCTTGATTTATTCTTTGTTCTGGAATTTTCTTCTTAAAAAACACAATCAAACAAGTGTTTATAACTAATAAGGACATTTGTCTTCATCCAATGGCAACAAACTACTGAATGCATTTAATACACAAATTTGACTGGTGGGGTCTAATTAGTATTTGATCCACTTGAAATCACTGAGTTTGTATTTTGTAATTTGAGTTTTAAACCACATGTTACCTCACCCAGACCTTATTGACCGGGTTATAAACAAAGGCAAGTTCACAGCTGCTCATACGTTTTACCAGCTGAAGAACTGGGTTGGATCAGAACTTTGTCTCAGTGTCACAACGGTTTGGATTTCAGGCTGACTCAGCCTCCAGAGTGAGTCAGCCTGAAATCCAAACCTGACTGAAGACATCTAGTTGCAAAACCTTTAACGTGGTTAAATAAATCAGCTAGCAGATACTCAAGACTGTAGGAAACCTCCCTGCTACTGTAATTTACAAGGACTTGTTCAACATTAAGTAGTGACCTGCTGAACGAGACTAGTGAACGTGGCACATGTCTGCCCTGACAGAAGTTCAACGATAAACCTTTAAAGACCACCTAGAAACAAACTTATATCCTCTATAAAAACTAAACGGTGAAAACATTCAAAGTCTTGAAGGAAAAGCAACAGTAATGTCAGAAAACCTTGCCCGGAAAAGGAAAACCGGGTCACCTCCCCGGAGCCAGGTTCAGTGGTGGGGGGGTGCTCGTGATCGAGCCTTGGCTCCTGGGGCTCAGATGGGCCAATCCTAAAAACATAACAGGAAGCTACCTCCACGTGGACCCACCACCTGTGGTGAGGTCCGTCAAGGTTGGGTGCTGTGCACGTAGGGCAGCAGGCGAGGGGGGGTTCCTGGCCATTTGAATTCCTGGTAGCATAGACTAGCTCTAGGGACATGGAACGTCAGGTCACTGGTGGGTAAGAAGCCAGAGCTTGTGTGTGAGGTTGAGAGGTACCAACCAGATGTTCTTGGACTCACCTCTTTGCACAGCTTGGTCTCTGTGACTCAACTCCTAGAGAGGGGATGGACACTTTCCTACTCCGGAGATCCACAGGGAGAGAGATGTTGGGCGGGTGTGGAGACACTCACAAGCCCTCGGCCTTTTTCCCCGGTGAACAAAAGGGTTGCCTCTCTGCGGCTTTGGGCTGGAGGAGAGAAGGTTCTGACATGTGCACCAAACATCAGTTCAGATTATACAGGTTTTTTGGAGTCTCTGAATGGTGTCCTGGAAGGGGTGCTGTCTTCCTTTGTGCTACTGGTTGACTTCAATGCCCATGTGGGCAATGATGAAGTTATCTGGAAGGGGGTGATTGGGAGGAACGGCCTCCCTGATCTGAACCTCAGGTTCATTTATTGTACTGTTGCTAGGCATGGGCTGTCCATAACAAACACCATGTTTGAGCAGAGGGTGCTTCATAAGTGTTACTGGTACCAGGCCACCTTAGGTCTGAGGTTGATGAGCGATTTTGTAATCGTATCATTGGACACTCAGGTGAAGAGAGGGGAAGAGCTGTCAACTGATCACCACCTGGTGGTGAGTTGGATCCGGTGGCCGGGAGGCTGTTGGACAGATCTGGTAAACCCAAACATAGGTGAACTGGGAGTGTCTGGTGGAGCCCCCAGTCCATGGAATCTTCAACTCACACATCCGGGAGAGTTTTTAACATGTCCCAGGGGAGCGTGAGGACATGGAATCCAAATGGGCCATGTTCAGGGCCTCTATTGCAGATGCAGCTTCCAGAACCTGCGTCCTGAAGGTCACTGGTGCCTGTGGGGCGAGGGGGGAGAACCAAATGACCCGCTGGTAGAGACCAGCAGTGACGGCGGCCATCAAGGTGAAGAAGGAGGCCTTGGGGACTTGGATGTTCCAGAGGACTCCTGAAGCAGCTGACAGGTACAGGGTGGCCAGAAGGATTGCAGTTTGGTGTTGCAGAAACAAAAACTCGAGCATGGGAGGAATTTGGGGAGAAGGACTTTCAGTCTGCCTCAAAGAAGTTCTAGCAAACGGTTCAGCGACTCAGAAAAGGAAAGAAGACCCTATCCCAGGCTGTGCTTGTTTGGGCGGGGGACTACTGACCCAAACTAAATATATTGTTGAGCGGTGGAAGGAGCATTTCAAAGCTCTCCTTAAGTTAATCCACCAAGATGTATATCTTTGAGGAGGCAGAGTCTACCAGTCCATTACTATGGCAGAGGTCTCTGAGGTCCTTGGTGGCAGGGCATCAGTGGTAGACGAGATTCGCCCCAAGATGCTGAAGGGCCTGGATGTTGTGGGGCTGTCATGGTTGACATGTCTCTTCAATGTTGCATGGAGAACTGGGACAATCCTGTGGAGTGGAAGACTGAGGTGGTGGTTCCGATTTATCACATTCATGCACCAATGGGACACAACGGAGGCGATGAGGGGTTCGGTGTCTTCCCCAGGGACACTTCATGCATGTGACTGCTCTTGGAATTGAACCCCCAACTCTCCCATTGAAGGACATGGCTCTAACCACTCAGTCACAGCTGCCCAAAAAGACGATGGTGAGCTGCAGAGCTCACCATGAAACGTTGACGTCCCCTCAACCAACACAACTAAACTTCTGATGCCAGCACACAGCCCTGAAGCCACTTACAGCTCAGTGTAAAGACACTAAGCTGAGTAATTGTAGACCCCATGAAACTAAAAAAGAAACATTTTCAGTATAAATATTGTTTTTTTATGTGTTAAAACATGTTAAAACAACTGCCTGAGCTGTTGCGGTGCAGAAGCTACAGCTGAGACTTTTCTCTGAACGGTTCAGTTTGTGTATGTGATCACTGAGCGTGCACGTGAAGAGGGTGTGTGATCACTGAGCGTGCACATGCTGAAACTCTTCCCTTTTAAGGAGCTGTTTAAAGCCTTTAACTAGACTTTTAAAGGCACAACGGATAATTTACGAGTGCTAGGAGGACAGAAAAAGGAGGTGCAAAAACTGAAAATAATTTACGAGCAACATAAATCTGACGGACTTCGGAGGTTTTTTTTTACTAACAAACTAAAACACTGTTTTCAGCTATGAGGTAGAAAATATCAGGATACAGTATTTAGAAGGGCTCAAACGCAGCAACTGTCTAAACATTCATTATTTTTCTTCTCTAAAGCTCAAATGTGATTTGGGATCGACTTGGTAATAATGTGAGCTGCAAACCATCCGACACTCTGGAGAACTGTAGAAGAAGAGTAAAGGAAACGATAACACGAGTACTGCACACGGCACATTGTACGCTCGTTGACAAACAGCAATCTATAGTGATGGACCAGGCAAGCAAAGACATTGTATAAACTTTGACCTTGATTTGTGACCTTGATCTTGGAGCTTGAGCAGATCAGAAGTTGTGGCCCAGACAACAGAAAGTTTAGACACGGAGACTTTACCATAATACGTCCGCCTTTGACGGGCGTATAAAATAAACGTTAAATCTGCTGCCAGTGGCTCATTAGGGTCACCGTGGTAACCACAAACCTGCGTCTGTCACTCCCTGACAGTTCTCCTAAGAAGGCAGGCCGACTACAAACAGTCCCTGTGTGATAACTACAAGCTGTGAGGAAAATGATTAAATCTTGAGGGACAAAGCGTCCGATCTTGACATATACACACACACACACACACACACATATATACACATCAGTTGAACTTTTACTTAATGAATGCACTTTAATGGTCAAATCAGCTGCATATCGTCGGGGCGGTGCAGCGAAATGAAGCTGATTTGACGGTTGTACCAAGCAACGAGCTGGACGAAGGTCGCAGGCTATGGCAAGCCGATTGTGTCATTAATAGCCACTTTTATCTATTACATGGGCTATCTAGTGGCTGAAAATTGCAGTGTTCAATATTTTTAGTCAGAATAAATGAAAACTGTCATATTGCAGCCAAAAATTTTTCATAAATATGGAAAATCCATGAATGAGTCACCTCGGCATATAAGTCACAGGGCGTGAAAATTATGCAAAAAAACGCGACTTATAGGCCGAAAAATACGGTAATTCTTTTTTACAATTGTCACTTTTCACTTTGCAACAGTGGACCAACAAAAAAAAAAGGTTAATGTTGAGGTTTTTAAAGGTTTGGATCTAAAAGGAGAACGACAATAAAGAAACCTCGACCTTGACCGCAATGTAGAAATCCTTCTACACCAAAACGAGTAAACGTTAATCCCTTCTCCAAAATGTTGTTCATGTGTTTGCTGAGCGCTTCAAACTGAAAAAACAAGAAGACAAAACACTGAAGCTTTTGCTTTTTTAAAAATGTTAATATAATTTTTGAGGTCTGTGACTCCTTTCATTTTGACTTTTGGCTCACGTGTGAAAAAGTTTGGACCCCCCCGTGTCCTGCGTGAGCTTTGAGAGTCCCACCAGGTGCAAGAAGACGTTCTGATGTATAAACTGTCCCAGAAGCAGACGGCTTCGGGTTTAAGAGTTTAATGTGAAAAATTAACAAGCTGAACAAAGTGGCCTGTTCAGACTCTGAATGATGTTCTGAAGTCCGAGGACCGGCTCTGATCACTCGCTTCAAATGAATCTTGCTGAGGGCGAATCCTTTGAGGGTTGTTGCTCTTTTTGTTTACACCATAAACTTGCTCTTGTTTTTGTGGGAGATCTGCTGTAATCTACCGTAACGGCCGCAGCCCCGTCCCGTCGAGCACGTTGTGTTTGAAAAGCTCTAACTCTTATTCAGTTTTGTTTTTCAGATTTTACTTCCTGTATTGTGACAGAAAAACAAGTTAAGACTTGTATTTTTTTTTGTTAAGTCGCTGCGGTGAAATGAAAACCACCCGTTTCCTTAGCAACCAAACATGCAGGTCACATGACCCAACGTGACACTCACTGTCTCTTCTGCCTTTGCGGATGGAGGGCAACATGGAGCTGAGCCTCCTGAAGACCCCTTTATGTTCATCATCTTCACCTGGCGGGGCCACACCTGCCAGAACAAATAAATCAATTACTTTCAGGGATGAAACCACGAAGCCGCTTCCTCCGCCGGTAGAAAACGTCTGCACGCCGTGTGCAGGAATGAATCTAACCGACGCAGAGGAGGAACCTGCGGCTCCTCTCTTCATCAGAAGGTGCAGAAGATCTCTGCAAAAACAACCGCAAACCTCCAAAAACACACGCCGACTCCCTGTAAGACCGATTCGGTGTGAACCAATGTTAAAACTAAAATCGTCGGCATATCTTCATGAAACTCCTTCTACAACGTGAGGAACGGTCGACTGAAAAGAACTAAAGAGAAATGTATTTAAAGATAAATAGATTTTTGTTTTTTGTGGCGCAATAATACGTGTACACGCCCAAAGTGTCTGCTTTAAATGAGAAAACGTTTGTTTTAAATCAGCTAAAGGAAAAGGTTTTGGGAAAGAAGCAGTGGAGAGCAACAGGAGGTCCGAGTATGGCAAGCCAAACTGGTCATTAATTGTCCTTTGTATGGTAAGCAACAAGGCGCATTATCGACCCAGGACATTTTCATCTGTGGTACAAATCACAGCTCACAGGACCAGCCCAAATGTTTTTCAGTCCGAACGGTCGGGTCTCGTTTTAATTCACTTCAGTTTATTTCTGTAGCTCCGAGTCACAACAGAAGTCGTCCCGGGCCTGAACAGAAACATTCACATACTGGACATTAAAAATCCAGTAGGTAAAAGTTCTCGATCTGAGGAAGCAGCAGATCGTGTTGAATCTTCACTTCGTCAGTCTCATCCTGAGCGAGCACAAAGGAGACAGTGGGAAGAAAAACTCCCTTTAAACAGGAAGAAACCTCCAGCAGAACCAGGACGAGACGCTTCAACAAAAAATAATCCGTCCAGAGGACCTGAATTAACTTTGTTGAATGTTTCTACCTGGATTACTGAGCATGGACCTGGATATTCAACAGAATACTTTTGTGTTTTTAATCCAAGCGTTTCCAGTTCAGTTTACTCACAAGTTGTAATAAAGTACAGAAGCTTTAGTTGTTCAGGTTAAAGACTTGGACTGTTTGTCTCACATCGTCTGAGATGAACCATCTCCAGTTCTCTGTTCTACCTGTTCACCTGCAGTGTTTATCAGTAAATAACTCTTTAGTTTAAACCCCAAGAAAAATATTCTTCTTATTATTATTATCATCAGCGTGTTTTGTGGAGTAGATGTTTTTTTACTCACCGTGGTTCCCAAAGGCATCCGGGATAACGAGGTGGTCTTTGGGCGGCTCACCTGCACAGCACAGACAATATTCAACATTTATTAACTGCTTCCACTTTTATTTCACATTTAAATCCAATTAAACTTTAATACGAGACTGGAGAAGAGCTCCGAGCTGCTCCAGATGTGCAGCTAGCTCATACAACCACTGGTCATGGAGTAGCTTTTATTATGAAATCCTTCAGCAGGACTTTAACAGAGGTCCGTCTTCGTGGAGCTGGTCTCAGATCCAATCTGACCCGGATCAGGCTTATTTGGAGAACTTTGTTTCCATGCAGGTTTCTAAATGAATAAAGGCTTGATTTAATTAAGTTTGGCCTCCTGAACCCCCCTCAGGTACGACAACAGGCACTCATCAACCTCCACCGTGAGTCATGCCCCCTCCCCCGACAAACAAGCTGAACCAGATGTAAACAGCTGCTCTGAGATGTAGAGCTCTGCGTGGCTCGACTTGCTCGATCCTCATAAACGCAGTCTTGTCATGATGCGGTTCTGTGCAAAAGTCCTCAACCGCCCAGCGTTCACCCGATTGTTTTCCTGTTTGTAGTTTGTTCTGCGCGTGTTTTAAACTCCTGCGCACTTTGAGCTACTCGAACCGTTCGTTTAACAAAACAACAAAAGAAAAGGTTAAATCAGGTCCTCTGGACGATTCTTTTTGGAAGAAACGTTTCGTCTTTCATCGGAAAGACGTCGTGAGTCTGAGGCCTGCCACCGAGGTCTGTCGTATAAATAGCTCCTTATTGGCTCGACCAGGATCCGTGTGCTGAGACTTTTAGGATTTATAACTTTAAACGTTTTGAATTGTTAAATGTTATTTACAACGTGATGCCCACAGAAACAATAAAATCACGTCAGATCCTTTAAAACATGATTCTCTGACGTCTACCTCAGCTCACTGCTCTGTTTTTGTTTCTTTGGCTGCTTTTAGCTACTGTTTAGCTAGTTTTAGCTTCGTGACCACTTAAGTCTGGCTACTTTTATCTTTTACCTACGGTAATGCTACAAATAGCTTTCAGTTAGGTTTATGCAGAGTTTGCTTATTTTAGCTATAATTATACAAATTTTAGCTTTTAGCATCTATTTTCCTGATTTTATCAAACAGCTAAAATTTTGCTACATTCACATACCTGCTGCATTTTTGCTAATTTTACTATTTTGCCTGTTTTAGTTCTTACAGTTTTGTTAATTTTAGCTACAATCATCATTTTGGCTTTTGTAGCAAATATTTAGCTTAGTTTAGCTTTTAGCTACGATTTTGCTAAATTCAGCTTCCAGCTACCTTTTTGCTAATTTTATTATTTTGGCTTTTGTAGCTTTTATTTCGTCTTGCTACTTTAGCTTTTACTTACAATTTTGCAACATTTGGCTTTTAGCTACACTCCTGCTACATTTAGCTTCAGCTACTATTAGTTTACAGCTACAGTTTTGGTAACTTTAGCTTCTAGCTACTGTTTTGGTCATTTTATTTTAGCCGTTTCCTTCGGAGCAGACATACTTTCTTGCACTCTTGTCTTGATCAACATTTCTCCAGACTTTCTAAAGTTCATTTAGAGTTTTTTTTGTTTTGTTTTTTGCTTCGGCACCTTTTAACCTCCGCCTGAGTCCGGCTCCATTAAAGGAAACCTTTGTGTGGCGCACGCGGCGCTCTTTCGTTTGAGGAAACTGGACAGGTGGGGACAAAAGGAGAAGTTGCTGAACTGAAACAATGAGCATAATCTGGAAGTCAGAAAATAATCCAACACCTGACAACATTTAGCTCATCAGCTGAAGCTTCTCAAGAACCACCTACAATCCTACTTCCTGTCAAACTGTAATTTGTTCAGATTAAATTAGACTGAAGTGTGTCTCTGCTAACAAAGGACAGACATTACATCTGTTTTGTGTGTCGACACGACCTGGATCTTCTTTTTATGCCTGAACGACTCATAGGTCAGAGTTAAGAGTCCAAACAAACAGAAGCATTCCTCTGTCGCAGTCAGGCCCCAGATGAATGAAAGAAAGAAACGACAGCCAACTCTGGATTGAGCCCATTTCTGTAGATTAACAGGTGCAACGCACACGAGCAACCATTAGTAGCAACTCGCCGTTGCCCGTCAACACAACTCCTTTACCGTTGATCGTCTGAGCGAACTGCAGCACCAACGAGCGCTGGATCATCTGTTCGCTTCAAGGAAAGAATCTGTACCCCTGTGGTGCATTCAGGTGACGTGGGAAACCAGTATACACTGCACTGCAGAGCAGCTCACAGGGAATTAAACCAGTTTCTCTGGTTTTTACAGGCTAGAAATGAAATGTAAAGATACCGCTGCCTCCGGGGCAAAACTAAAACTACCGTGATGTTAAAAATAGAAGCGATGTTAGAACAACTGGAGCTTTGGAAGATTTATTTGAACAACTTTTTCCAGGCTGGAATGATTAAACAGTAAATACTATAACATCCATCCATCCATCATCTTTACTTGCTTCTTCCTTTGAAAACAAGAAGTGGGTTTAAATGTAATCATTCTATCTGATCCTCACAGGCTCAAATATATCCATACACCTCTGTTAATGTTTGGTTAAATGACTTCTTCTTCTTCTTCTTCTTCTTCAACAAACTCTTTTTTGTCGGTCATCAGTCCTGATGTTTTAAACGAGTGTCCTGTCTGCAGTTTGTCTGAGAGTGTTTTTCATGTTTTTACAGATTGTGCACGGCTGACGGCTCTGTCCAGTCTAATGACGAGGATCTTTACGAGGACCTTTTTGACAGTTTTCACCAAATCTGTTTTTATTAATGGAGAACATCTCAGCAAAGACACGAAGTTTAAATCCCAAACTTTAAACTTTGTAGTGGCCGAAGCAAAATGTCTGTTTACTTGTCTCGCAGGGACAGAACGCAGGCTGGACCTCAGCTGTTTACTTGTCTCGCAGGGACAGACCGCAGGCTGGACCTCAGCTGTTTACTTGTCTCGCAGGGACAGACAGCAGGCTGGACCTCAGCTGTTTACTTGTCTCGCAGGGACAGAACGCAGGCTGGACCTCAGCTTGATGCCGTGGCTCTGTGGAGGTGCAACGTCAAGGCCAGGCTGGTGCTGGAGTTTTGCTTCCACAGAGACACTGGACACCTGGAGAACTTTGTGAAACTGTGGATTTAACAAGGTTTTATGGACCAATTCTGATCAGAGAGAACTACAATACAACAAGCTCCTCGTGTAAATATTTTATTTGAAGCTTGTCCTGATCACCTTTTTTAACACTGTTGTGTTAACTATCTGTGTAAATAAAGTTTTGTTAAAAATCAAAAACCTTCTTCTTGTTCTTCATTTAATTTATATTGTTGATCTTCTTCTCATCCTCCTTGTTCTTCTTCTTGCTCTTCTTGTTTGTTGTTCTTCATCATCATCTTCTTCTTCTTCTCATCCCCCTCTTGTTCTTGTTGTTCTTATTCTTCTTGGCAGAACTGATGAAGTTTATTTTAATCTGAAGGTTTCCTGACTCGGTCTTTTAATCGAGTCCATAATTTTTAAATCTGATTTCAGGTCGGGGCTTTGGGAAGCAGCTCAGTCTTTGTCTCGTTTGACCATCAAAACTTGTCTCCAGAAGACATTTGTCTTGTCCACGTGCACAGTTGCAGGTTTCAGTCCAGCCTGAAGGTTCTGGAGCTTCTCTCTTGGTCCTCTTAGTTCATGATGATGTAAAACTGTCTCCACTGTGGGCAGAGACACTGGTGGTGGTGGACAAGGACACTGGTGTTCCAGCAGTTCTGGTTCATGTTCCCAGCTTGACTAAATCTATAATTTACCTCCTTACATCTTCACTGAGTTCTTTGGACTTTCCCGTCTTTCTGAGTTTTGGTCAGTCCAATCAGCTTCATGCTGACGAAGAGAACCTACGAGCTGCAGTCAGTCACGATCCCTAACAGGAAGTTAACGGACCGTGGCCTCGTCAAGTCAAAGGACCTTCTAGAACCTTCAGCACCACCTGGAAAAAGATTTTGAATAGAATAGACCTTTACTGCCTCTCAGCGAGCAGGTCCCTGGTTCAAACCCCGGTCCAGGGGCCTTTCTGGGTGGAGTTTGCATGTTCTCTCCGTGCATGAGTGTGTTTTCTCCAGGTACTCCGGTTTCCTCCCACAGACCAAAAACATGCATGTTAGACTGATTGGTAACTTTAAATTGTCCCGAGGTGAGAGAGAGAGTGAATGTTTGTTTGTCTCGCTTGTCTCTATGTGTCCCTGTGATGGACTGGAGACCCGTCCAGGGTGTACCCCGCCCCTCGCAGTGATTGCTGGACATGGGCACCGGCGACCCCCATGACCCAAAATGGAATAAGCGGGTAAAGATAATGGATGGATGGATGGATAGACCTTTACTGTCATTGCACCCGAGTACAAAGCAATTTTGGGAAAAAATAAAACGAGTTCTTGAGGACTAGATGGTTCTCCTGCACCACGCGGTCAGTTGTTCCATCTCGTCCCTGTAGATGGGCTCATCGACCCCCACTGGACCCCCCCGTAGTGTCATCTGCCAATTTGACTATGGTGTTGCTGTGTTGAGCAGTTATGTGTGTATAGGGCATAGAGCAGGAGGCTTAGCACACAGCCCTGGGGGGCTCCTGTGTTGAGCCCCCTCAGATAAACGCATGTATAAATCTGAGCCTGTATGTATAATTTAATTGAGAAAATCCATAAATTCTGACTTGTGAACTCAACTCTTGTTGTTTTGGTTAAAAAGGTTCTTCGGTCTCTTCAATCTAAGAAATATTAACTCCTTTTGACCTTTTTGAAGCCTCATATTCACAGATTACCACAAACGGATTAATAAGCAACAAATACTGGTTGAAGTAAATAAATAACCCTCACAGAGGAGCAAATAAAATCCAAACAGGTTCATGGAAACAGGTAGCGACCGAGAGAGGGAAAATGGTCCAAAGGTCACGGAACAGGAAGTACAGCTCAAAAACTGCACTCTGGGCTAGTTTGGTGAGTCTTCTGTCTAACCTTCAGATTGTTACACCATCAAAGATCCAGCTGG